ACTGGCTCAGTTTAAATCCCAGCTCCACCACTTAATAGCAATACAAACTTTAGATAAGCCACTTAACCTCTCTGAGCCTTATTTTCCCTATCCTTATGATGGCAAAAATAATAGTATCAATATAACAAGGTTTTGAGGATTCAACATGTTGGGAGCTCACATGTTATCTGTGTAAGTCACTGTTAATATTACACTGTCTTACATAGTTTTTACTCTTATACACTCCTACATCTATATTTACCTTTTTGCCTACCATGGCTAGGGAATTCCCCCCAAATTTTTAAATATTTGAGAATCTCCCTACCAGTGTTTCCAAAAGTCAAGTGTGGGACATCCCAGGTGCATTGGTAAATATGGACAAACTAAGCCATGGTCTGCTGTTTGGTTCCTTGTAAATCTACTTGGGAATCACCCTAAGGGAGCTGGAATAGGAGACTGCTCTTTCTGATGGGTTTTGTGTTCTGAAACATCAAGTTATCATTTCTCCTCAGTTTAGGGAAGATCTCACTTGCTCAGATTAGGCTTTAAGATAAATAATGCAACATCAACCCCATTCCAAAGAGGAGCTGCTTCTGTGCATGGAACTCGAGAGTACTTTGTCCCATAAATATGGGCAGCTGTCAGGGCAGCAACTGGTTCCATTTCAACATTGATCAGATGAATAATTTTATGTGGATGTTTTCACAGACACAGAGAGACACTTTTTATACTATGGCAATAAAGGCTTTGTAATTGCTGCTGACTTCTTTAGTGTTGTTTTCCATTGTTACCACATCATTATATAATATTGCACAACCAAAATTCTACTAGCAAAGTGTGCTGTGCTTAAGACAATGTGGTATCCTGGATTGGATCCTAGAACAACAACTAGTAAAATTTGAACAATGTCTACAGCTAAAAGGAATGTACCGATGTTGATTTCTTAGTTTTGACAAATGTGCCATGGTGATGTAAGATGTTCCCATTACGGGAAGGTGGGTAAGGAGTATACACGACTCTGTAATCTTTGCAACATTTCTGTAAATAAAAAAGTACTCCAAACAAAAAAATTTTAGTTTGAAAAATGTGCTGTTAACACAAACAAGTTGAGGAGCATTGATCCGGGTGATATCCACAACCGTCACTCAAATCTCATATCCTTAAGAATAATAAATGGAGCCTACACTTACACTCCTTTCCCAAAAGGGGTGGGGGTGTCACTGAGGTGGGGGAGGCAGAGTATGTGCATAGCACTTAAGGACAAAATGTGCCTTCAAAAGCAAACTATAATTATACAGAAGCTGAAGAGCATTTGCAGAAAATCACTATCTCATTGAAATCTACATCCTGTTAATCAAAGAGGTTGAGGCCCTTTTGATTATCAGACTAAATATTTTTAGGCGATATCACTGAATGCCTGGAAAGAACATGAACAGCATCGGCTGAAGGAAAATCCATCTTTAGATAAAAAGGTGAGTCCTACAAATCACAGGAAAAATCAACCCCAGGAAATTTATAAAGGAAGGTTGGCAAAAATATTCCCCGTATTAAATCTCTCTCCTCCCTACTTGCCTTCGCCCAAATCCTCCACTCCCCTCCTTCCAAACACCCAGACTTATGCATTGGCTGTTGATTCCCTTAGCATTTGACCAAAGCATAGGGAGAGATCAAAAGGTGACCTAGAGTTAGTAATAAGATGAGAAGAGAGAAGTAGATGGAGATTATTATTCTCTTATAGCAATGTCAAGGGGGTCACTGAATAAAGTTGCAAAGAACATTTAACTTGAGACTATGGGATCCCCAGGCAAATCTGGCAACTCAGATGTTTAGTGCAGAATAACCTAAAAATGGCATGATGAGCCTTTCTTGGTGTATCACAAAGAGATGTGTATTTCTTTATAATTTTTGTAACAGCAAATCATTATAGTTCCCACAATGTCCAGAAATGGGTTTTATATTTAGTGGGTACATTCCAATTCTGTCACAAAGGACTGGTCTAATTCTCCAGTTTTCAGACTGGATTCCTTCTCTCCTACTTCTCTACAAATGGGCTCTGATGATTGCTTGTCTCCTTAAAACCCTAATAACTAATTAATATCAGTCATCTAGTCCTAGCTGTTCAATGAAATCCCCAAATCATCTGTTTTTCTGAACATGCAAATTGTTTTCTGTGTCTATAATATATAAATAGCTGTAAATCAATAAACAGATAAACAAGCCATTACAAGGAAACCTATTATTACTGTCAACTACTGAATTAATGTGCTATATAAACTTACTAATGTAAATTTGTGAAAAGGCTACATGCTTTTTATTATCACAATAATACTAGAAAAGAAGGATTGTGTCAACCTGTCAGGATTATATGAAATTAACATTGTGGCAATTCTTGTAAGAAGGCAACGTTTGTGAGATTACTCCTGGAATTCTCCCCTATAGTTTACCAAGAAATGCTCTAGTGTAGCTCTACCTAGTAGACTATGCCAAGACATCTTCTCTCTTGGTGTAAGAGATCACCAATTAGTGAGACACAAGTATAGACCAAAAGCACAAATCATAAATAAATCAAGGTAGCTTGTCACAAGAGAATTAGTGCCTGGGCATCCATCTCTGAGCAGTAATTTATTTTCAGCACAACTTTAAACAGAAGTCCCTTTTTTAACCAACATTCATTAATGTTCACTGCCTTTTGCGTGTGAAATGATGAAACTTAGGTGACTCCAATGAGTTCGTCACTCCATTTGAGTGCTGCTTCAAAGTCATCCTGGAGCTTGAAACTTCAAATGAAAAATCTGTTAATGGGCACCTTTTGTAGCCAGGGACTCAACACCATTTCAGTGTCTCTGCTCCACGATCACATTCCCTCATGTATGATGTCTGGGACACACACACCTCTAGGTTCAACTTATTTCCCAGTGCCACGTGAAAGAGAATGTGCTCATTTCTATCAAAGCCGAACTGGACACAGCAATTGCCATGTCACACTTGACGTCATTTTCCATATCTTTCGGGACCATGGGATTTGGTCATAAAACTTCCAATTGCTAGTGTATTTTCCTCTGAAATGTGGCTATTGCTCATACCATCTTATAATCCAGTTCATAAATAGCGTCAAATTATTGAACATGATGAAACCCAAGACATTCTACTTGGTGGCCCATTTTTCAAATCATGTAAACATTGACTTTGCCAACCCACTGCAACAATGTCCAAAACCATGAAAAATCATCACCATGCGGAATGAGCAAATTCACGTCACCTAGGTCAAATTCCACAGACGCCTTCCTCTACCTGTTGAGCATAAAAATTTGTAGCCAAACAGCCCAAAACTATGATTCAGCAAAATAAAACTCCCATGCATCTTCTAGTGGAGCCTCAGCAAAGGAAACCCAGACTGAAAATGTACATCACCAGAACTGTTTCTGTTTTCAGGAACCTCCAGCCATAACCAAATGTATCCTTTGAATTGTCTGGCTTCTGTTATTTCAAACCGAGCCCTCCACATTACTTTAATGTGGGGCTTACTTGAAAACATAATTGCTAGGAATAATTGCAGTATTACACTATTGTCAGAAACTAAACAATCTTATTTTTCCTCCATTCCCATTAGTCAGTGGATCAGCTCCATAATATATGTTGTATATACAGACCTTTGAAAGGAAAGAAAATCTTTGGGAGTATATTAAGATCCCCAAGTCTGTTCTATCCACTGAAGAATACCTACTGAAACACAAGAGCAAATACAGCTTTTGTTTTCCTGACAGAATAATGGAACTGAATTTGCTACTGTTGAATCACCCATATGCACCCCAAACCAACACGATCACAACTCAATGCCTGCCCCCCACCACCACCACACAGAGTATTTTGTGGATTATTTTTATGAAACCCTAGTTTATAAAAAATTGATATAATTCTTCTGTACTAGTATCTGTTATTGAAAACATCATGAAACTTTAAAGTCACAACTGGTCTACCTCTGATGGCAGACAAATAAGCAAAATGACCATTGGCTAACAGGTGGCCTGGTCAAGATCAACCATCAAAGTTGATTATTGGATAATCGATTAACTATCTAAGATGAAACTACCAAATAATCCATTGGCTAACTAAATGCCTAACCATGAAGAACCAACCAAGAGGGCCATTAGTTAACAGATCAATCAAGTGACCTATTGGTTAATGACAGAACCAACCATGAGAAACCAATCAAGTGGATCC